AAGTTCATGCAAGGACATCTGTAGTAAAAGTCTTGTCATTTAAATGTAAAATTCTTTAAAACTGTACTGTTTAAGATGGAGTCCCTTCCATAAATCAGTAGTGGACATTCTGGATGTATTTAATCTGCCAGTAGTTTCTTCAAGCAACACAATATTAATTAATGATTTTGAATCTTTAAATTGGTGTTCGGTTTGATGTAGAGTAGTTTTTTCCAGCTGTAAACCCTGCAAACACCTTACGGTTCTGGTGCACTGAGAGTTTAAAACCAGAATAATCGTTTAGCAAAGACACGCAAAGATTGGAAAGTGGGCTGGGAGATGTGTTCATCTTCTGTATGGTGTAATATAATTGCTACACCATGATTGAATACTTTTATGATGTATCAGACATCGAGCAAGACCTTTAGATGTCAAATCAAGGTTAGTCCAGATCTTTATCTAATTTGGGGTACATGAATTAAATTATGGGAGTTTTGACCACACATATTTTTCTTTAATTTATTAATTGCATGGGTTTTGATGACTCTAATGATGTTATTGGAACAAGTTCTCCCTTCACAGCTAGCAGAAGCTTTAATATTAACATAAGAGAAAGAGGGGAATAGAGGACATTAAGGAGGCATTGTCTATATCATATAAAGCACCTGCCTGCTGTCAATATTACTTACCCAGCCGTTGTTTATCACTGGTATGTCCAGTCAGGCCAACTCGACTTGAAGCTGCAATAACAGCAGGCCAAAGTAATCAACCTGAGTAGATCCTGCCCACTGACACAAGATGGATGATGTTGACAGATCTAATTATTTTATAGCGTGAAGTAAAGCGACAACCATGAAAAAAATAATGGTTAAATGATTAATTAAATTATTTTAATTCAACAATTAAGTAAAATACTGCTAACTTATTTAAGCTTAACGAAACAACATTTAATTCATTCTTATATTAACCATTTTTTTCTTTACTCATTTGTTTATACAATAATGTCACAAAATTTCCTCCATACATAAGAACTTTATGAACTTCTATTTACAAAATTTTTCAAAGCGTGTCTTCTGTTCTTGCTTTCTCTAGGTGTTATCCCTGAGCCAACGCACCTTGGAGAAGTCCAGCATTGTCTGTCTAAAATCCAGAAAATCCTTATTGAGCTTAAACGCTTCTGGGAAAACGTCAACAGCTTGTTGAGCAAAATGAAAAAATCCACTTTTGCCGGAGAAGATTTTGTTCTTGAATCCGACTTTAAGGAGGAATTTTTGATGTCAATAGAAACAGCCTCAGAGGTAACTGATGTCTGTCAATATGCAAGTTAAAATTCATTGGACAGCAGTTACACACTGAACACTACATTCACCCACTGGTTTCACTCATTTTTTGTTTTACAATAATTCAGTAATGCTCTGACTGAAGTAACGTGTTTTATTTCACAGGTGTGGGAAACCTTTGGTCTCTCCTGTGGGAGAGCTGTTCAGATATTCAGAGCGCAGTCCAAGGATGCCTACCGTTTCCTGGAGATCGACCCGGCCTCCCTCTCCCAGGACGTGTGGCAGAAAGAATACGACAGCGTGAAAGAAAAGCTGCAGCAGCTGAAGGTCTCTGATAACGGTTCAACTCCAGGCATCCAGGCGTGTTGGCGTTACTGCTAATGTGCATCTCCTGACAAGGTTATCAGATGAGCTGGTCGGTTCTTGTGATTATCAATAACTGTTTCCGTATTCTAGCCACAGTTATTCCTCTTTTCTCGTGACTACTTTGATAATCACTTGTTAATCCACTCACTGCTGAAAAGGTTTCTCAGAAACAAAAAGAGTGGAACTTGCGGGTCCAGATTGCGGCAATGCTATGACTCACTGTTACACTTTATATGTTTTTATCAGTAACCAGAAAATGTGTAGAGAGGAGAACTGCCACTCAGTATTGTCTTCCAGGTTAGCCAACCACTAGAGGGCGCTCCCGAGCAAGTCCAAAATGAATGAGTTTCTGTGGTGTAAGCTGCTTTGTGACGAAGCCTGTTGTAAAAGCGCTATATGAATAAACTTTGACTTGACTTTGACTGAATATTCACTGTGGTGTTTCAGTAAAGCATTTAAAGGCATTTCTGCTTTTCTAAGACTTCTACTTTCTTTTCCTCTAACCTCACTAAATGCTCACTACAACACTCTAAGTGTGGAGTTTCAGCTCTCGTCTGTAATGCGTGTGCTTCTCTTTAGTCTCTGTATGGTCTCTCACACATGAGTGGTCAGTGATTTATTGTAGTAATGCCAAAATGATCAAATCCACTCCCCCATTCAAATTAATGCTGAAGGGTCATTCATTTTTCTTATTATTTCACATTGCACTTATACACATGAAAAAAAGAGTAAACAATGATAAATTTAAAAATGTATTTGATAGTGCCTGTATGAAGACACTCTGTTAAATGATACAGTGTCTATAAAAGAATTCATCCCTTTTTCAGCAAGTTTTCATGTTTTATTATTATAGAAAAATGAATTTGAGTTTTTGTTTTGTTTTGTTTTTGTTTTTGTTTTGACGAATTCAAAATAGATCTTTGCGAAACGATTTAAATGAATTAATGGCAGGTTTAAAAGCTACACATCAAAGACACACTACACCATAATTGAGACACAATAACTGATCATTCAGTCCTTCAATAAAGTGGTTTGCAGGGGGCCTGGTTTTATGTATGTCCAAAAAGTGAGCTTGCTATGGGGGGTTGAGGGCTGACGTGGTGGTGGTGTGTTAGTGTGTGTTGTGCTGGTCTGAGTGGATCAGACACAGCAGTGCTGCTGGAGTTTTTAAACACCTCAGTGTCACTGCTGGACTGAGAACCAAAAACATCCATCCAACAGCGTCCTGTGGGGAGCGTCCTGTGACCACTGATGAACGACTAGAGGATGACCAACACAAACTGTGCAGCAGCAGATGAGCTATCGTCTCTGACTTTACATCTACAAGGTGGACTGACAAGGTAGGAGTGTCTAAGAGAGTGGACAGTGAGTGGACACAGTGTTTAAAATCTCCAGCAGCACTGCTGTGTCTGATCCACTCAGACCAGCGCAACACACACTAACACACCACCACCACGTCAGTGTTACTGCAGTGCTGAGAATGATCCACCACCTAAATAGTACCTGCTCTGTGAGGGTCCATGAGGGTCCTGACCACTGAAGAACAGGGTAAAAGGGGGCTAACAAAGTATCAGAGAAACAGATGGACTACAGTCTGTAACTGTAGAACTACAAAGTATTACTATATCAATCTATATCAGTATTACTATATAGTAAGTGGAGCTGATAAAATGATCAGTACTTCAACTGAATCTTCTTCAGAATCTTGAAATGTTTCTATTGCAATGTTATCGATTCCTGCGCCTCTCTTCTTCGGCAGTGATCTCAGAGCCTTTCTGACTTCATCATCTAGCGCTAAACGTCGTTCTGCACAGCTGACAACAACAAATGTGTCGGTAACACTTTCTATGAAGGCTGTATTCATAAGCCATTATAAATGCACTTATATAACTTGATAACAATGCTTTGTTGATTATAACTCTAATAAAGCCCCATAAGGCTGTAATACTGCACCACCAAATTAATTCTTTGACTTATAAATATGTAGTAATACAAATGTCATTATTCATTATGATGTCTTTAAATGAATAATGATAATTATAAAGCGCTTATAATACACATTAACATTTATAAAAACAAAGATTTTAAATGTCATCACTGAGTGATTCAAGTAATGTGATTGATATTTTATGTAATTTTTTTTACAAATATGTTGTAAGGTATAATAGAAATATTATTTTGAGGGGTAGTGGTTGAAATCTTCCCTCTGAAATGGGACCCTCAAATAAAGAGCATCACTTCATTAACAGCTACCAGCGCTGCTCTGTAGGCGACCCTGCCAGTCTGCAGTGACAGCAGAGGAGGGTAAAGTTCAGCTCCTCACTGCCGGGCTTTAGTGACATTTAGGGCATCATATGACTTCAAAGAGGGGGGCAATTATTTATGATCACCACCCACTAATTCTTCAGTGATATGAAGCTGAAGTCAGATATTCACCAGATTCTTGTTCGAATTTTCCCGTTCCACCTTAAATGGAGCAGCAGTTACATTCTGGCACTTCAGGCGTCAGAACTGCTGGACTATTTAAGGTGGAACGGCAAAGTTAGCTAGCTAGCTACAGAGACATCAGCGTATTAGTAGTGATTTTTTATGCTTGTTATGAAGAAAAGGACCAAAATACACTGAAATGACATTAAACTAAGAAAATACAGTGGTTATTGTAATTTTTTAAAAGAGAAAATTCTCACTTTTGTGGGTTTCTTTGGTCTCTTGTTCTCCATCTTGCCTGTTTCTATTTTTTTCTCATAACTCTCTGTTTGGAGTCTCTGAACAACCTCTGTTTGGAGGGTCATGTAGCTCTAACACTTCGCCCTCCCCCTCTATCTCAACAAGAATCAGGACACCCTACCCCTAGACGAGAACGCGCAAAACAGAGGGGTAGGGCTAAGCGGTAGGGGTGAGGGGTGAAATGGGACTGGGCCTCAGTGTGTCATATAAACAGGCAGAGGGTAAAGACACTAAATTGATCATTTTCCATTTACATATTCATTACACTAATTATTACAAATATTTTTGCCGTGTTTTAAACCTTCAAAACAGGTCAATTTAACCCAAACATAACGGGAGGGTTAAATCTAAATTGGAGCTACAGAAGAAAAGACCTAGGAAGGGCCAATAGGGGCCTCCAGAAAGCGACCACAGCAGGTTTTACATGTGTCGTTCTCTGATTTTACTAGAAAGTCAGAAGTATTTGGCTGGTTCTGCAGGTTAGAACTGTTTTTCTCTACAAAGGCAGATCCTGAATAAACACAAAAACAAGTACACACAATCTGGGTCCACAGGTTAACTGAGTGTGGAGCAGCAGGCTGAGTGAGTGATTAACCAAAAGCACTAAATCCACTTTGGTCATCACGGGTTACTCAAACTGAGCCCAAAGTCCAGCACACACACACGCACACACGGCAGAGAGGGTTCTGCGGCAGGCCGAGTGTGTGTGAGTGTGAGAGCCATGTCTTCTCTGGCCGTGCTCCTGAAGAACGTTCCTGCCTGGTTCCTGTGTGGAGGAGTTTTCCTGCCTGTCGCTCTCCTGCTGCTGCTGCTGATCCTCCACCTCAGCTGGAAACTACAGGAAGGTATGAAACACTAAACTCCAGCACTGAATCAGGATCAGGACTATTCGCTTAACAGCTACAGACCATCCGAGTCCTTAAAGGATCACTCAGCACTGTTCAGCGTCTATCACTGGAATGTGTAGCGTATGATCCGATTGATCACTGTAGACAATCATTTTAATGTTTTCCTGAACTCTCAAAACTTGTTGACTCAAATCTTACTTACAATTCTTACTCAGACGCTAATGGTCAGTTGCTGAATCAGTGAACGTTTAAGCTTAAATGTGCTTTTTTGGTCAAACACTTTCATAAATTCTTCAGTTCTTCTTCAGATTAAGCTGTAAATCTGTGTAGTTCAATCTTTTCATAGATGTTTTTCCACAGAGAAGAATTTGTAGTAGTTTGTTTCCAGCATAGTGAGTGGGAGGAGTTTTCACAGGCTCCGCCTGATCACCATGGATACCAGGAAATCTTAAAGAACCTTAGAGAAGTTCACTTGAACTACATTCTTAAAAATAAAGGTGCCTAAAAGGGCTCTTTGGAGCGATGCTATAGAAGAACCACTTTTAATAAATGTGTGTCAAGATGTTTTATGGAATGTGAAGGTTCCAGGAGGAACCCCTGAATCTAACTGATCTTTCCGTGATGGATAACTGGGTTATATTTGTTGATGTGGTATATTTGTTGATCCAAACATCTCCTGAAAGCAGATTAGCATGTTTTTATTGCTTTGTTTTCATTACATAATGAAATAGATGCTGTTTGGTTTTTATTCTGTTGACTTTAGGAGGTGAGACTGAATACGTTCTAGAAGAATCTCAGCATCCAAAAGTTCCAATGCAAAGATGGACTAATAATAATAATAATAATAATAACAATAATAATAGTTTTAAGGCTTCATATTATTTTTTACAAGATATAAAATATTTATTATAATATTAATATCACACACTGTAATAATGAACTTAATTTCCCCCATTCTTCTTTTTATTTTTAGATTCTGAAGAAATCTTAATCTGGTCTTGGTCTTCACTCAGACTCGCCTCTTGACTCTTGAAGGCTCAGAGCATCATGAGACTGAGACTTTACAGCCGATTAAGACTGTAGATAAGCTGCTGAGTGTGATTACAGATCAGGGAGAGAGAGAGAGAGAGAGAGAGAGAGAGAGAGAGAGGGAGAGGGAGAGAGAGAGAGAGACGGGAGGGGAGAGAGAACGAGAGAAAGAGATAGAGAGAGAGACGGGAGGAGAGAGAGAGAGGGAGAGAGAGAGACAGGAGGAGAGAGAGAGATGGGAGGTGAGAGAGAAAGAGAGGAAGAGATAGAGAGAGAAGGGAGGAGAGAGAGAAAGTGAGAGAGAGAGAGAGAAAGGAGGAGAGAAAGAGAGAGAGAGAGAGAGAAGGGAGGAGAGAGAGAGAGAGACGGGAGGAGCGAGAGAGAGAGAGAAGGGAGGAGAGAGAGAGAGACAGGAGGAGAGAGAGAGAGAGAAGGGAGGAGAGAGAGAGAAGGGAGGAGAGAGAGAAAGAGAGACGGGAGGAGCGAGAGAGAGAGAGAAGGGAGGAGAGAAAGAGAGACGGGAGGAGTGAGAGAGAGAGAAGGGAGGAGAGAACAGACACATGTGGATCAGATATTTTTGGTTGGTGGACTATTCTCAGTCCAGCAGCGACACTGAGGTGTTTAAAAACTCCAGCAGCACTGCTGTGTCTGATCCACTCAGACCAGCACAACACACACTAACACACCACCACCACGTCAGTGTTACTGCAGTGCTGAGAATGACCCGCCACCCAAATAGTACCTGCTCTGTGAGGGTCCATGGGGGTCCTGACCCCTGAAGAACAGGGTAAAAGGGGGCTAACAAAGCATGCAGAGAAACAGATGGACTACAGTCTGTAACTGTAGAACTACAAAGGTCACCTATATAGTAAGTGGAGCTGATAAAATGGACAATGAGTGTAGAAACAAGGAGGTGGTCAGAATGTTATGCCTGATTGGTGTATAATGTAAACATTGGAATTTCCCCAGCTCTGTAGTACACAAGTCTGGCCTCAGGCCTCAGTCTCAGTTAACATCCTCAGTCTTGACATCATGTGGAATCATCATCTCTCCCTTCCTAACTGTATCTCTCTGTATTTGTCTCTCTCTCTCTCTCTCTCTCAGTGGAGGTGGAGCTGTCTCAGGTTCGGGACCCTCGGGACACAGCGGAGCGACTGACCTCCAGACCCAAACACACACACATCCACCATCACACACACACTCACCTGCACAGGTCAGCCAAGACGTAAGGACAAGCGGAGTGGAGTTCACAGGAACACTAACAGAGCAACTGAAGCCCTGAGAACGGAGAACATGTGGAGAGAACAGTGTGGAACACCTGAATACCTGAATGAAGTGAGAGTGAAGGGGAACAAGCCGGACCCTCAGAGCTGCTGTGAAGAACTGGCGCATTAAGGGGCTCATGCATTAGATCTGTTTAATGTTAATAGGTCTTTAGACTGATATAAGTAGATGAGCTCTGTTCTGATTGGCTGCGCACTGTTCAAACAGGAGTCTGGACTCCTTATAGCTTGTGTGAGTGGGCGGGGCTAAACTGCTGTAGGCCAGAGATATGTAAATGATTTGGGCTTTGTGACAATGGATTCAAAGCAGGCTGTTCCTATGTATGGACAGCATGGACGTTTTGAAACTGACTGTTTACATTGAAGGGAAACCCTCAGGGCCTTCCAGGCATTCAGAGCTTTTCATGAACAAAAACATCATTCCTGGTCTTCTGGAGGTTCTAGATACGTCAATAACTGAATACGAGTCGTAGTCGAAGCAGGTGCCGGTTAGTTGTTAGGAATGGAAAACAGCAGTGGCAGCTCTGGAAGAGTCACTGCACACTCTCAGAAATAAAGGTACTAAACCATCACTGGGGTGGAACCCTCAAGGGTCCATCTCAGTACCTTCAGTCAGGGAACATAACTGAACCATAATCCACTGAAATGATATGTTCTAAGCTGTACTGACTCCACACACCCCGTCTCGTCTCCAGGCTTTTATTTTACTGTTCTGTTTAAAACATTCGGTTATGAAAAGGTACAAATACGAACTTTTCACCTGGAAAAACTTATTTAAGGTTCACAATCAGACCTTAAAACCACTGTTGGAGCTTTGAGGGAACGTTTACACTGTTTGTACATTGATGAACGAAAAATGTAATTTATTTCTAACAGTGTAAAACTGATACATACAAGCTCATACGTACGATAATGTCTTTTATAAGCTTCAAATGTCTATTTAATCTAGAACAGTAAACAGACAATGATGTTAATTGTTAGTGCTAATAATTAGAGTTCACCACTGGTTTACATACTACATCAAATATTTATTTAAAAATTGAGGAAAATTCAGTTTTTCATGATATGGGCCTTTTAAGGATTGTCCAAAATGCTAGGCTTTGACTAAGATCAACAGTAGTTATGTTCTATGGTCTTTCTGCACAAATTGCAAGTGATAACATAAAAATGGGTCTAAAAAGTGTGATTTGTGGGCCAGACTATTAGCAATAAAGTAATTTCTGCCATATATATATATATATATATATATATATATATATATATAAATAAAAAAGCTTCTCAATAACAAAAGTGATGTTTGACATGTTTGCTCTAATTGCAACTTGTGAACTTTTGACTTCCCTCACTTTCCCACAACCTACTAATAAGGACATTGTTTATTTCATTTGTTTATTTATTTATCATGAAAGAAAAAGCTTGCAAAGTACACTCCCATGCAAAAAAGGGCAAAGCCCAAAAGGGCAAAAACGTTAAGCTTTTAATAGTCTTAACAATAAATCAATAAACAAATAGATTAAGTAAGTTAATATAGGGCTTTTTCTCCTTTTGATTTATTTAAATGTTTTTCTTAAAATGTAAACGTTTAAAGACGTTTTGTATGTAAATTTGAAGACAGTCTTTTACAAAAATAAGTCAGTATTGATCCACTCAGCATTGATGGCTTCAAACAGCTAAAAAACACTGCTGAGCTAGTTTGTGTTTAATGTGAGACCAAATATTCACTATAGGGTTAAAAGCTGGACTCTGACCAAGCAGAACTATCAGTAATAACCATTATAAATATTTTGCACTGGAGTGTATATTTACACAACTCATGTATTGGTTCGTTTCCATAGCCAACATTCAAGGCTCAAAACATTTTTCGCAAAAATTCCTTTTTCACTATTTTCACATAATAAACAAGTTATGGAATTTGAAATGAGCCTAAGCTGCTTGAAACCTACATGAAATTGTATTGCACTTGAGTTGCATAATGTGAAGTGTGCTGCAACTTGTTTGAAACTCAGCTGCAACAGTTGCAAATGTCTCAACTTCGTGAAACAAGTTTCATGAAACAATCAAAACTCGAGTTGCATGTGAAGTGTTCTGCAACTCGTTTGAAACTTAGCCGCAAAAGTTGCAAATGTCTCAAACTCTGTGAAACACGTTTCATGAAACAATCAAAACTCTGATTTAATCGCATCAGCAAACAAGAAAATACAACAGAACAGTTTTAAATAAAATAAAAGTTTATTGAATGGTCGATTTGCTTTGTGTAACTATCAAGCTGCACAGAAATTATGTTGCATACAACTCACAACATGCAACTAATTGCGTGAAAGCTTCACAGTGTAAAGCCAGCCTTAAGAAAACGAGAATTAGAGAACAAGAGACGAGAATTAGAGAATAAACAAACTTTATTTCAACAGTGTTACACAAAGAGAGGACAGGGAGTGGCGGTAGGTGGGCGGGGCCAAAAACACAACACATTTATCCAAGCTGCTAAAACGAAGGGGGTCAGACGGGCGCCTTCTTTAGTCAGCGGCAAAGAGAGAGTGTGAGAGAGAGAAAGAGAGAAAGAAGAGAAAGAGAGAGAGAGAGAGGCCGCATGGCAGTAGGCCAGAGTGGGAGGAGCTTCATTCATTTTACTTATCTACATGTAAAAGATTCCATTGTGGCAAATTCATTTTTTCCTTTTAGTCAAAGAAAAAAAATCTGACGGAAATATATTAAAAATATGTAAAAGGGGCAAACAAACCCACCTCATTCAGAAAAGAATCAACTAAAATCATCGGTTTTACAGACGAGACACAGAATTAAAATATCAGAGAAAAAAAAATACAAATATTTCTGATTATTGGAGCCAGAAAGTCGTGTAGGAAAAGCAAAAATGTATTCAAAAGCTGCCCAGAGTTTAAGTTTTCTTTTGTAGTGTAGTTTGTATTGGAGTTTTAAGTTCCCTACGAGAGGTAGACGAAGTGCACCTCCCAGTGGTGGAATGTTTGTTTGTTTATTTGTTTGTTTGACTGCATAGAGGAAGTATTGGCACTGTTGTGCTAGTGAAGGAAATAACGCTGTCCCACGCTGGTCCCTTACGAAGAGATTACCAAGTTAATCTTCTAAACTTTATACTGGTAACAGCAGTCCCGCCCCTCTCCTAACTGACATTAAACCCTCCCTATCCCCTTTATAAAATGGTCCGAGATCATACATCAAATCATTTTATATATGTATATAGACTGCCCACCTAGTTTTTACAAAGTGTTCATCCATAACTAAGAGAAATCCGTTACGACTGGATTGTAAAAATTCATCGTTTTAGCTCTCCGGATCTTCCCCCCTTTGTACGTGCTAGGAATGTGAATCACTACTTAACAATAAAAACGTAGAGCAAACGCTATCTGTTCTTAATAAACACTGGACAACCTTTTGGGGAATAAAAACATCAATAATAAACACGCTACAAAAAATGTTAGCTAAGTGGTTCTGGTTTCTGAACAATAACGAATGCAGGTGTCCGAGGCGCCGACGCCGAGGTCTTCTCTCGTCCTCCGTCCCGAGAGACGAACACTCGTTTACTCGCGTAGAGAACAGAAGGGAACAGGTCCGTCTGGACGAAACGAAAGATGAACCTCGTGGGCTTCAGCTCTGCAAACAGCAAGAAAAAGACAGAAAAAAAAAGAGATTGGTTTAATGGTTCATTGGCTATTATGAAACAGTTAGCTCCGCCCACACAACCTGACTGGTTGAAGTGTCTTTCTAGTGGTGTTATATACCATAACAGTGCTTTTTCCACCAAACCCATATCAATCTGACCAAGTGTTGCTAAGCAACAATGAGCTGCTGGAACTACTCTTTTCAGTGGAGGAAACTGGCAATGTTAAATACACATTTTTGAAAGTGTTCACTTTCCTTTTTCTTTGCAGTATAAAAACATTTCAGATCAACCTAAAAACATTGATGCAGTTAATGGGTAAGTTGCACATCTGTGAAAGCACCATTAACTCAAAGATAATTACACATTTTGGAGCAACACATGCCGCCTTCTAGATGACGTCTTCTTCAGGGATGTCCATGATTATTTCACTGCTTTCTGTTTGTAACGTTTGTAGTTTGTTGATCAGTACAACAACATGCAGCACTCGGATGATCTATTTACTAAAGCTGTTATCTTTGTTAGGCTAACATGCACCAGTTCTCTTATTTTGGTTCTACTGGGACAGGTGGTAAGTTAGCTGACACTTCATGCATATGTGTACTTGAAGATTTCAGTTCCATTTAGAATGCACAGCAAATCCAAGACTCAAAAGGCGAAACTTCCAAAGAGCATGAACCACTGAGAGACACCAAGACTCAGGGTGAAATACTCCCTAAAGGGACGAAAAGGAACCAAGTTTCAAAACAAGAAACTCCCTAAGAGCATGAGGAGCAACCACTGAGAGACACCAACACCCTAAGAGCATGAGAAAGAACCACTGAGAGGAACCAAGTCTTTAAAGGACAAACTCCATAAGAGCATGACGAAGAACCTCTGAGAAGAACCAAGACTCAGAATGAGAAACTCTCTAAGAGCATGAGGAAGAACTGCTGAGAGGAACCAAGACTCAAAAGGAGAAACACCTTAAGAACAGGAGGAAGAACCTCTGAGAAGAACCAAGACTCAGAATGAGAAACTCTCTAAGAGCATGAGGAAGAACCACTGAGAGGAACCAAGACTCAAAAGTGGGTGATTTTGGAGCTGGATTGCAGGCTAGCTGGCTAATGGATGGTCACTAAGCATTTTGCCCGCAAAATTCGGGCTTCAGGTCTGAAAGGTGCCCATATTGTACCTCTTACTTTGTATCATGCATGTTGTGTGAGATCGGCCGCAGGCTGGGACAGGAGGCAGCAGTAATGCGGTCACTGTACTGGACTGTAGTGGTGAAGACAGAGCTGAGCCAGAAGGCAAAGCTCTCTGTTTACCGGTCGGTGTACATCCCGACCCTCACCTGTGGTCATGAGCTTTGGGTAATGAACGAAAGAATGAGATCACGGATACAAGCAGCTTTCTCCGCAGGGTGGCGGGCTACAGTACGGGAGGAGCCACTACTCCTCCACATTGATAGGAGCCCGTTGAGGTGGTTCGGTATCTGATCAGGATGCCCCCTGGACGCCTACCGTTACCCGGCACGGGCTGTTGGGACGAGACCCTGAGTCCGTCCTAGGACCCGCTGAAGGGATTATATCTCCAAGTTGGCCTGGAAGCGGCTTGGGGTCCCCGGAATGAGCTGAAGGAAGTTGCGGGGGACAGGGTCGTCTGGGTTTCTTTGCTTTCCCTACTGATACTGCGACCCGAGCTGGACCAAGCGATTTAGGATGATGCCGAATTTTGTGGGCAATCCATGGTCAAACTACTCAAAACCTGTATAACCCCACCTTTATTGTCATCACGTGGCATTATCGTGTGATATATGACATGACTTTGCTTTACATTTTGAGGTGCTCCAAGCAATTTTACGCTATTTCGGAACAGATTTGTGACTGAACCGAACGGGATCCATTCTTTCTTGACCCTGCTGATATCCGATCCAGCATTTTTGGACCAGTGCCATCACTACCAGGTCTGCAGAACCTCTTAATTTGGAATTTGCTCTCTTTGAAGGCTTGCTAAATATCCAGGCAGCTCAGTTTTTACCGAGCTGCTTTCAGATGAGGTAACAGTTAATGCTGTAACAGCCAGGTCACCACCGACCACAATCAATATGGAGAGGTTATGGTGCTGGGACCCCATCAAAACAGGCAAGAAACCCAGGAGGAATGGTAAATAAACTGTAAAAAAGGTCCACATAGAAAATTCCCTTCTATTGAGCTTCTAGATTTGATGCATACCACCTGCGTTACTGAACCCGTATTCACAGCAAAGCCTGATTTCGTTTGCATGTTAGCAGTGACACCCAGTGGTAAGCAGTGCTACATTAACAATGTGAGGACAGACAGCGTTGCCATGACGAGAGCAGACAACACAACATGTGCTAGAAAAGACAGAAACTGATGTAAGGAAAATACATCTGGTCTCAATGAGGCCTGGATAAACGCACACATGGGCTGAAACAAGACATGCACTGCAAAAATGATCTTGGCAAATGAAAGCATCTTAAATGACTGTACGAGCTTTTTATCTAATATTTCTTAATTAAGACATTGTGGTGAGGTTATGATTATTTAATCTACTTCACAAACAGTTTTTGCTTCTGAGTCTTTCATAATGCAGTATGTATTCAGTGGATGGATCACATGTACTGTACATACTGTACGTATCGTACGTCGTACCTGTAGTATTGTACTGAACATGTATACGTTTTGTATACACTATATAGTTGAACCCTGCAGACTGTATACAAACAAGGGCCAATTGTGGCTTCTCGTGATTAGTGTTGTGGGTCAGTGGTTGCAATTCATAGTAATATGCATTGTGCATACTGTACATAAATCTACTGTACATACCAATCATGTAAACTTTACTAAAGGGCAGCATTCATTTGGCTTCAGGGCACCTACATAAGCCTTTCATGACAAATGACGTTAAAACTACATAGACTTATGAAGGTTTATGAAAGCTTATTCCAATAAGCGTCAGTTGTCATAAAATAAAAAACAGCAAAATGACAACAGATGCTTGTGAGATAAACCGTCATAAGCCTTCATAAGTCTATGTAGGTTTATGTCAGGTGTCATGAAAGGCTTATGTAGGTGCCCTGGAGCCATATGAATGCTGCCCTTCAAAAGTGTAAAAGTGTTCAAAGTGTAAAATAATCTTATCACAATCTCATAACTGAGAAATTTAATTTTAACTTTTGAGTTTTTTGTAACACTTTACTGAAGAGCAACATTAATACGACTCCATTATGACACCTGGCATAAACCTACACAGGCTTATGAAGGCTTATTTCAATAAGCGTCAGTTGTCATAAAACAGAAAATGGCAAAATCACAACTGGTGAATAAGCCTTTATGAATGTTTATGTAGATTTATGTAGCTTTACGAAGTCGACCCTTCAGAAAAGTGATACTTATGTTAATTTTCTTAAGTTAAAAGTGAAATTAAGTGAAATTCCCACTGCGCTCGTTTCCTTAAAGAATGTTTGAAAGTGGTATAATGATCTGCCAGTTCAGTAACATGGCAAGATCACTTCATAAAATATAAAATATGCAGAATGAGGACAAATAACTTTACAATCTTATAACAGTCCCTCACATATGAAGCACTTTTACTTGCCAAGAGATCCTTTTCCGCTGTGTGCTTATCAGCCGATTCACAGAACAGGAAACAGACAGACTGGGATGGACTCAGTGCACACATAAAAAAATAAAGGAAGAAAGAAAAACGAGATGAAAAGAGCTGGCCATCAAGGAAAGCTCTGGACGCCACGATCTTACCTCTCCTCTACTCGTCATCCTCGGCCAGCTCGGTCTCCTTGTGCACGACCACGCGGGTGACGGACATGTCCGGGTGCTGCTCTTTGGCTTCCTTTATGGCCTGGGCCAAGGCCTGACCAGCCCAGGGGTCAAACAAACAAACAAAAAAAAATGAACACAAAGAAAGGAAAGAACTGTGTTTAAGAAAAATGAAAGAACGAAAAGCAACTAATAGCAACTAAATGGCAAACACAGATGATGAGGGGAGCACATACATTCACACACAGACAGCTAACACAGTGAGGGGCGACTCCTCTCATGGTTGGCTTGGATACAGAGGAGGAACCAACGCCAGACCATGAGGATCGCAGACACACACGATGCTGCTGAAATGTGAGGAATCTCAATCTGCTAATATCCTTAACCGTATGTCATTCAAACTGTATGATATGCATAATTTTTTCATCACCTTTAGAGGGCGACAGTGAGTAATGTTCGTTTATTTCTGTTCTCTTTTTGACTTATTTAAGCGACTTCTTTGCTCTTCCAGTTGAGTATAAAGTCACCAAGCACTATTACATCATCACTAAGGGTGTTTTTTCCACTGCACTGGATCACTGGCACTGGAACATCCAGTACTAAAGCTTCCAGTTTCCTGGTTTTTGGTGCTCCAGTAGGACCTAAAGGCACCTGAGGCTGTTCTTTAGTAGGACTTACAGCTGAAGCCAAAGACAATTTGAATTCTTTACTCTTCCAGTTGAGGATAAAGTCACCAAGCACTATTAATTCAATAAGCACTATTATTATTTTTCCAATAAGTGCAGCTAAAGGAAACTAGAACTGTATGTTGATCCTTCGACAGCAATTTTTAGAATTTTTCTTCATTTCTAAAGAGTTTAACAGGTAAGCTACATAGAACGCGAAGTGTGCTAATCTCCAAGGTGTTTTCTTTGATTACATTTACGCAAGATTTAGTATAACTGTAGCGTCCGAGCACTAAATATTATATAGCACAACACAAGCTAAGCTAAGACGACTAGTAAGCAGGATAGTTAACCTGTCAGTTTTTACTCTCGTGAGATTAAAAATCTAAGCTTTGCGTAAGTCTACAACTGATTTTTTGTATATGTGGACATTTTTGTGAGCACCGAACAGTGCAGAGTATCATTTCATGTCCAGCCAAAGTTCATATCAGCCAAGAAGTTAAGCTAATAAGCAAATATTATCGCTAGGTAGCCGTATTAAATGCTTTAGAGTGGTTATTATGACAGTTTCTGGCTCTAAGGAAGGTGGAAAATCAACAAGAACTAGAACCGTAAGATCTGTTGGCTGCTGTTTGGGTCAGTTCTTGTTAGGCAATGGAAAAACACTGAAATGTAAACTAGTTATTACTTTATTAAAGGTGAACTATCACTTCATAAACTGTTCACTACATTTACATTTTATGGCATTTGGCAGACACTCTTATCCAGAGCGACTTACAATTTTGATCTGTTTACACAGGTAGGCGAAGGCAGTGTTTGGAGTCTTGCCCAAGGACTCTTATTGGTATAGTGTAGGTTGGTTAGCCAGGTGGGGCATTGAACCGCAGTGATGTAACTGATATAGACATTAATTGTATAAATTTGTTTTATTTCCTTCACAATGGAGACTGTATACTGTATCTATGGCCTGCACTGTAATTGTTTAATGATTTTCTTTGCATGTTCTTTTAATCTATTTGAAGAAGCAAATAAAGAACGTAAAAATTTGCAGTCACTGTGTGAAACTACGCGTAGGTGTGTGTATGGCTGTGTGTGAACACGATCAGAGCCTGCTGTGGTCCTCGGACCCTCCACTGATGAACTCCCTACACAGCACTGAAAGGAGCAATGAGCTGAGCTTTGTGGATCAACGCGCTGCACCAACATCTCCACTGAGCCCCACGCCATCTAAACATGCCTCCAGCCACGGTTCACATTCGTAAAAGGCCATCACAACATCAGCAGGTCACTGCTGGCCAACAACACCCAAAGAAACCACTGCCTGTCTTCACACTGCCTGCCTGGCGATTTCTCAGCCAGGTGTCTCCGGGAACTCACCTGGTCATGGTCGATGTCCGAGTCGCCCGTGATGACGATGCGCTTCTCAATCCGAGTTTCCGACAGGCCGCCTTTTAGTGTCTAACAAATAAAGTAACACAAACAGAAACTGTCAACAAAGAAATCAGAATAACGTCTTAAACTCTGAGGGTCTGTATGAGGGTCCTCACTGCAGTCCCCACCCTCACAACTACAGAACTTACACAGTAGTTTCACAACAGTTACTGAATAATTCATAGTAGACACTGAATAATTCATAGTAGATACTGAATAATTCATAGTAGACACTGAATAATTCATAGTAGATACTGAAAAATTCATAGTAGATACTGAATAATTCATAGTAGATACTAAAAAATTCATAGTAGACACTGAATAATTCATAGTAGACGCTGAATAATTCATAGTAGATACTGAAAAATTCATAGTAGATACTGAAAAATTCATAGTAGATACTGAATAATTCATAGTAGATACTGAAAAATCCATAGTAGACGCTGAAAAATTCATAGTAGATACTGAATAATTCATAGTAGATACTGAATAATTCATAGTAGATACTGAAAAATCCATAGTAGATACTGAAAAATTCATAGTAGATACTAAAAAATTCATAGTAGATACTGAATAATTCATAGTAGATACTGAATAATTCATAGTAGATGCTAAATAATTCATAGTAGATACTGAATAATTCATAGTAGATGCTAAATAATTCATAGTAGATACTAAATAATTTATAGTGTTCACTGAAAAATTCATAGTAGATACTGAATAATTCATAGTAGATACTGAATAATTCATAGTAGATACTGAATAATTCATAGTGGTCACTGAATTATTTGTAGTCGCTACTGAACAATTTATTGTAGTTAATAAAAGCTTAATAGTGGTTACTAAAAATCATTGTGGTTACAGAAAATCATCATAGTGGTTGCTGAAAAATGTACAGTGATTAGTAAAAAAAATCACAATGGTTGGTAAAAACAAAACTAAAAAAAAAAAAAAGATACTGAATAATTCATATTAGATACTGAACTATTCCTAGTTACCTTGGTGATGTGTGTGGTTGTAGTTGTGCACAGTGACTCTGAGGTGATGGTCTGGGCGGTCATTAGAACGCCTGGCTCTCCGTCTCCAGTACCGTCCAGCTGCCCAACACACACCAAACAAACAGTGAACAAGCTTATACTCCATGAATTTATTAAATGGACAAACTCGTTTTTCCTCTGCTCGTGGTCAGCGGGCAAACCACTGAAAAGCCGAACTCTTCAGTGAGCTCTACACGCTCAACTCGTCATCGTTGTTATTGTTATTGCGTTAGCGGAAGCAGCGTGACCCTGCAACGAGAACGTCCAGCAGAGGCTTTGGCAGTTTCAGCCAACATCGTGTGCAGCTGGTGCTGGTATGTAACAGTGCTGGAGTTTAATAGTAGACTTACTTTCATGCGACGCCATTTCAAAGTACAGGCATGTTAGCTTGTTGCATGTATGCAGCATTATTTGTATTTTGACTACTAAATGACCTCGTTATGCACATGTGACACTGTGTGTGTGTGTGTTGGGTGGCGGGGTTTATACAGCATCATTTTTGGAACGTTTTTCCATCACCATCTATTTATGTCTATGAGAGTGCAAGACGGATGGTCAGTGAGTGTGATTGGCTGTGAGTGTGAAGGGGGCGGGACCTGGGCAGCTTCGTAAGTGATGGTCTTGGTTTCTGTGTGAACGATCGGAACCTCCTTGGTGGCGATCTCTGTCTTCTGAGCTGCAAACGTGTCCGAAATGGTCACCATTTCTGTCTTCACCACGGGGGGCTACAAGAGAGAGTCCGGGGGTCAGTAACTCGGCACGCTCGACACATACGCAAACACACACAGGGGGGCAAACACGGCAAACACTCCACAGGTCAGCGGGCGATGACCTTTTTCATGCTTTAAGAGAGAAAACCAAAACCCAGCGCTACAAACTACAGATCTTTGGTTTTTAAGACATGCAGAATAAAACCAGCGCATGCAAACTACAGCAGCAAGCTGAAAAATAAACAAATAAATAAATAAATAAGCAATCAAACTGAATAAGAAAAGCAAATAAGCTTCATCAAATGTTGAACTTTGGTAGGATTTTGATATGTGACGTCGCAAACGATAACTGCAAGCTGAAAAGTAAATAAATAAACAAATAAACACTAAATAGGAAATAAACTGTAATGCAGATGTTGATCTTTGGTAGAGTTTTGATAAGTGAAGTATTGACAGATACTGCAGTTTTGGTTTCTGTGCTGTTTTTGGAAGGTAAATGAATATAAAACAGCATAAACACAAACACACACGACTTAGTACTGTATCAGAGACCACCCCTCATTTATTCCCACCCTCAAAATCTCAGGCTTATTACACACTAAGGCTTATTATTCAGTGACTACAGGGACTTCAGTGTAAACCGTCTGAGCTATTCTTAGGTTATAGAAGTGTGTAATAAAACTTTGGCCATTTAAAGGGTTAATTTCCAGTTAAAAAGAGCCATTTAGTACAGGTTTTTTTCAGGAGATATTTTCTAAGCAGATTAGATATTAGATAATCCACTTGCATAATGAAGGAGAAAATCAAAGGAAAATAAGTTTAAAAACAAAACAACATCATTAAAAGCTACAGAGAAAATGTGGCCCCTAACAACCACCTGGAAGACCTGGTAGACACTCAAAACTGCCCCCATCAGATAAACAGCACTTAAAGCTCTCATCTCTGAGAGAGAGGAGAAAATCAAGCTGATCAGATCTGAAAACATCCACAGGTGTTTCTGTCCATCCTTCCACTGTGAGAAGACGACTCAGCGCTGTGGGTCTGAAAGGATGTGTAGCTGATCAAGAAGAACCTCACTGAGAAAAGGAGACGGACACATCAAACAAAGAAGCTGAACGATGGACTGACCACCCCAGAGTCCAGACCTCAACACCACTGAATGTGTTTGATTACTTCAGAAAATGATCAACCAGCTTCTAAGACTGAACTTTGGAGGTGTGTCTGCAGATTCTTTGAGGAGCTGAAAGTGAGTCTCCTGAGAAGAATGGAGGTTGGAATAAAGGGACAGAGTGACTCATTGACCACTAAACAGCTGAGAGTAGATTTAGCTGCTGAGGCTTCTGGGTAATTACCTGATATTTGTTTTCTTTTTTTTCTCCTAACAGTGAAAAATAAATAACTTAATGGTCATTTTAACTGGAAATTGAATAAATGTAGAGCGGCCTTCAACTTTCCCACAGTACTGTGTGTGTTTGTAGGGTGACAGTGATGCCTCTTAGCCAGTAATGCTAACACACACTGAGAACAACACAATAAAACACCAAGCAGAAACACAAACTACACACAAAGCACAACACACAACATACAACAGCTTTGCCATGCAGCGGCCCAGGCTAACTCTGCTAGCGCCTTTCACAACACAGTGATAGTGGATACACGCGTGTGTGTGTGTGTGTGTGTGTGTGTGTGTGTGTGTGTGTGTGTGTGTTCTACAGTAACAGTCAAAATTCTGGACCCACCTGTTTGAACTGAATTGCATGTTTTTCATATTAAACGCTGAAGCTTAAATGCTGGAAACGTGCTTCTAATAAAGAACAGTGAAGTTGCTGCCTGTGCAAGTCGGATCTCGTTCACATATTAAACACATTTAGGCAACGATCTGTAAGGACATATATAACAAAGTTAACTGAAAGAACCACGATGTGTCACTTCAGGCGCTTTCACATTCAGCTCTTGTTTGGTTGTGCAGTGACAGGAACAATAAGACCTAATTCACATATGCTACCACTGCAAGGCAGAGCGACGCGTCGCTGCAGCTCCAATGCACTGGCCTTCCGTACATACAGCGTTTGCGCTGTGGAGCGGAGCAGAGAGACGGTTATACAGACATTCATTTTTCCAGACAGATAAACGGTCGAACGTTTGTTTATCCTCTACAGCATTCTGACTTATGGTCTGGCAAAAGTTTCAAGCCTGGGAGACCAACCAGGAAATCTGTCTGCAGCTCATAAACTAAATTAAAACACTGTTTTTAAGTTTGTATACAGTTTTCTGTTTCATTTTCACGGCTTATTTCAGCGTGTTTTACTGTGTGACGCATGGGTCTGTTCTCTAAACAACGCGCCGCTGCAGTGCAGGCGTCTGGGACGCTCTGGCGCTTCGCAAGCGCAGCCGGTGTGGTGTGACCATACGGGTACGTTCTTCAGTCCTGTTGGAAAAGTATCTCAGGTGGTTCCTTATGAAGCTACTCAAGAGAATGCAGAGAGTTTTTAATCCACAAAAAGACAAAGTACGACGGGGGAATCTGAAGATAATTTGGATTTGCTCAACACTCTTTTGGTCACTACACAATTCCATGTGTTATTTCATCGTTTTGATATCTTCAATATTATTGTTATCATCAAATTGTAAAAACAAAGGAAAACCCTTTCGTGAATAGGTGCGTCCAAACGTTTGACTGGGACTGTATGTGTTGAAAGTGTGTGGAGATGAATGAGATGAAACAGCACCAAATGAAAACAGGTGAGTGATCAGATGATATGAATGGAAAACTTACACAGACGCACAGCGAATCAATACATACTGAAAAAGACGAACACTGAATCCGATATCGACGGTATATTAGTGTTAGTGTTTTTATCAGCTTTAGCGATGTGTTTGTGTGCGTTCGTGTTTTATTGCTTCTTTTTTCGAGGAACGTTCAGAATTGAGCTTTATTCTCACTGTTATTCATCGTGTTTTATTTTCTGCGCTTTAAATTTCGTCTAAAAAAGCAAAAAACGTGAAGGAGGCGGCAGCAACTGCTGCGAATGTAAAAGCGAGAGAGAAAAAGACAGATTTCTCTGCTTTCCAGTGGAGGAGAGGTAGCAGCGGCGGCAGAGGGATGGAGGGATGATGGAGGAGGAAGAGAAGAGCAGGAGTGGAGACGAAGTTGCCCATGTTCTTTTTTTTCAGATTTATGCAAGATTTTTCACCCAATTTACCTCCGAGCAACAGATCACCTGTGGCACGCGCTCCGTTTCCACGTGAGACGCGTCGCCGTTGACAACGCAAGGCTCCGCCTCCTCCTCTTCCTCAGCAACAGCACCCAGTGTGGGCGGGGCTTCCTCGCCGTCGAGGGCGTGGCCATTGGGCGCTTCGTCTGGAGTCACCAGCACTTCATCTCCTGATGCCTCCTCTTCCTGTTGCTCGACAACCGCCTCCTCTTTGCTCACGACGTCAATCGTTTCGGCCTCCCTGATTGGCTGCGGCTCTGTCTCAGTGGGCGGAGCCTCTTTTATCAGCTCGTGCTCCTCGTCGGGCTCTTCTTTGATGAGGTGGGCGGAGTCTGAGGGGCTCTGAGGGTGAAACTCCGCCTCTTCCTCGCTCTCGCTGTCCGAAGACGCGCTCTTCTCTTCCTCCTTCTCTTCCGGCGCTCTCTCTGTTGCCGCGGTTACGGCGGCCGGCGCCTCAGAGGTGGAGGTTTTGGGCTTCGCGGCTTTGATGACTTCCTCGATAACGACGGTCTCTTCCACGACCTCTACGACCTCGGGCTGACCGTTAAGCTCGGCTATCGGTTTGTCCTCCGCGCTCTACAAAACGGGACAGCAAAAACAATAAACAAACAAACAACAAGCACAAACAAACAAGGGATGGAGAGAAAAAAACATGACCACACAAGCAAAAACGATAAGGAGAAACATCTAAAACCATATGGAGAAATAAAAAACAGTCAACAAGCAAACAGGGATGACTGGAAACAGCAGATGGATCAATGCACAGATATATCAAGATGTGGATGAATCAATGGGCGAGAGACAGAGAGAAAGAGATGGAGAGAGAGAGAGAGAGAGAGCAGAGCGTGGCTGGTCGAACTCAAGGCGTCTGTAATGGGATGAGAATGGAAAGTGTGCGTGTTAGCTGTGGAGCTGCGTTATGGTGTGTTAGGCTGTCGTTTGGTTGACGTTCGGTTGACAGATTGACCACCTGGCCGACGTTTCCGCTGTCTGACGGGGCACTCTCGAGGTGGGCGTTGGTTTTCTGTGGGAAATAAAAGGTAACCAACAGCAGCGGTCACTCGCAGACACTTTCGGACGGTTAATCTATGGCACAGCATGGCAGAAAGCCGGATCTACAGAGGGTTAAACCAGCGAATGACAGAAAAAAGCGATGGCTGCCACTCTTTCAGCCTCTCACTCACAGAGACAGAGCAGTTCCACACACACAAAGCGGACATGAACACGCAAAACAAAGCAGGAATGATGAGAATGAGTTACAGATCAAATATCACACAAGCTTATGGCCAGTCTGACTCGTCTGAAAGTGACTTTAAAGTGTAGAAATTCTCGCCTTTGCTGTTTTTGGCTATGTTAATGTACTTTAGTCCATGTTTATAGATGACAGTGAGTCATACAGAGTCAGAAACCTCACAATCAAGTCTATTAGAGATACTGAACAACTCCACATGGTTTGAGGTGAGTGTGTGATGATTTAGGCCTGCAGTTAGCGCCATGCTAATTAGTGCACATAAAGTTCCACTACATTTTAGCTACATTAGCCTCCCAGCTCCAGCGCTAACACTAAAGACGTAAACTTCGGACACCAAATTTGGAATAAAGGGGGTGAAACTATTGCATTAAATACTCAAATGCTTAAAAATGCTGGTTAAAGTCTTACATAAACGATCGTTTAAACTAATTAGCTTCATTTCTGACCACAGACAGCGCTTAAGTCTCATTACAAAACAAAAGGGTTTTCAGAAGTGAGTCCCAATTAGGGCTGAAACTCTAGCTATTTTAGAACAGACGGGAAAAAGTGGACCAGAATAACAGAATAATATGTGTTTCACAGCTTAAACGCCATAAAAAGCAATCAATACGATCAATACAGAACTATAATATCATATAAGTCAGTCAGTATAGAAGTAAAATGGCATGTAAAACAGTTTTAATGATCAGTATCGACCTAAAACTCCATCTAAAGCAACCTAAATGCAGTTTATATGATAATTATAGATACCAAAGTGTCATATACACTGCAAAAAATGATATCTTGGCAAGTGAAATTCTCTTAAATTTAGTTGACATATGTAATAGTTTACATTTTAAGATTATTGAAAGCTTATTTTAAGATTATCTCATTTCTAGACATCTTTTACTTATTTTAAGTGATTAAGTCAAATTAAATGACACACCGACGGATAGTTTGTCTTGTTTCAGTCACATTTCAAATAAGCAAAATTATTTGCCAACATGGTGAGATAATTTCGCTTAATAAAATCACTTAAAGTGAGAACAACACGCTTAGAAATAAGTTAAAATCTTGTAATAAGCTTACAGCATTTCCAAAATGAGAAATATTAGAGAGAGCGACTAGATTTAAGACCATTTCACTTGACAAGGTATCATTTTTGCAGTGTAAAACGTGTTAACACGTTCAATTTAGAACTAAAATGCCATTTCAAGCATTTTTAATGATCAATATGGACATACATTGCCGTATACATACACCATCTCACAGATCAATACATCAAAACGTTAATGATACAATCTATAGGGTCAATAATACAAAGTTAAAGTGCCAAACAAAACGGCCTGAATAACCACTACAGAACTAAAGTGCAAATATAATTTTTGTTTTTGATAAATACAGAACTGGCTAACTAAATTCCCCATTACAGATCCTGAGACTATTTGATGAGTGAAAACACCTAAAAAAAGGAGGACAATATGCATAAATCTGGTTCTAAAATCTGATTGGCTGAGGCACATTTGAAGCCTGTATAACAAATATATATGTATATCATGTCGATCACATATGAAATAATCTATATGCTTAAATAATCTTGCCACTGATGAACTCCACTGCTTGGCATAAGAACAGTTTACTGCAATGATTATTAATAATAAATGAAATTATGTATTGAACGTTCGTAAAAGGAGTTAAAGGTCAGATCTGGACATGAACTTGATCTGTTTCGGAGAAACGGCAACACATAAGAGCAGAGTTAGTGACTTCACAGCGGAGAGAGCGAGTGAAGAGAGGGAGAGAGCGAGCAGGAGGAGGGAGCAGGCTTAGTTTCATTGCGGAGCACCTCAGAGGCTGCTGTAACTGCGCCCTCTGCTGGAGCCACAGCGGTACTGCAGGGGCCAGCCAGGCCAGAGAAACAGGCTTTACTCAAAAACAGAGAGGTTAACTCCTCTTCTAAACTCTACACACAGTCACAGACAGCACAGAGGGAGAGAGGAGGAGTCGGAGGAGAGAGAAGAGGGGAGAGAGGGAGACAAACACACAAGAAGAGAGAGAGAAAGAGAGAGAGACAGAGGAGAAGTGCTTCCATCAGGCAGAGCAAAGACAATAAACTCTAATGTGCATGCAGCTCTAACATTTAACCCTCAGAACTCAGTGATGACGCAGTAATGATGAAGGAATTATTTCTGATACGTAGTTTATTGAAATGAGTGGAGAAACTGTGAGGAAAGTGCAGATTCTAAACTTTCACTCCGCACCAGATTAATATTTATAAGTAGAAGATATTTTATTAAGATTTGAGTTTGATAAAGTCAGCGTTTACAGTCCTGTTTTGTGGAATGAAAATATGTGCCTTGCATTTTTGACACTTTTTTGCATTAAAACAAATAGAAAAAAGCCTGATGTACAAACTGTAACCTGACCAGAGTGTAAATCAAACATAAAAGTGATCAATTATGTAACAATGTAATTATTTATGTAATTAAATATAAATAGAACAGCAGGATGGCTGTAAAAA